TGTACTATTTGTGTATATTATTATTATTATTATTATTATTATTGAATTATTTTCTTATTAAATTTACTGAAATATAAATCATAAATTATGCGAACCTAAAATTTTATGTAGAAACATTAAACTTACTAACTAAATAAATAAATATTACACAATAATCTATCTATCTGTCTGTCTGTATATTTGAAACTAAAATACTAATTAAAAAGATTGATCGAAAAATCTACTTGGAGTATCATGTAAATACATGGCATATGAATATTTTGATCTCAAATATTAATCTGGGAATATGAATACATTAATATCAAAGTACTTCTATTGAACCCAGAATATTCCTTTAAAGAACGCTAAACCGCCACAATGCACTAGAACCGGGCCGTATTTCTTTTGTGGTCCGGGGTTGCACACACGATTCTCTCCGATTGTTTTCTCTGATGAAACGCCTGCATGTTGCTGTGGGTTATTGTTGCGCAGAGGGGGTTCAAAGTTAGCGGGCCGTGTGAAGGACACTCTTACTTTCACAAACCAATTTCACCTCTGCTTTTCCACCACACTCGTCCTCTTTAACTAGAGTTCGCAACCTGTGTATTTACAGACGACTGGAACTAGCACACAAGTCTCACAGAGCGCTTCTCGAGACAATAATTGTCTCCCGAAATACACAATGCAGCAAAAGTAAGTTCACTTAAGAGCCCTAAGTGCACCTGAACCAATGTGGGACGTCCAAGTGCGCCGTTGGGCTATTAATGCAACCCGTTCGCAGGTGCGTCCCAAGTCTGTGTCCGATAGGCTGACTCTTGAGCTAATAGATGGACATAAACTCTAGTTCCTGCGCCATTAAGACCCTTTTAGAGTTTTTAAATGACGCAATTCGGGTAGCAATTTGTTATCCGATTCCAACGTTGTAGGGTTGTATGTTATCCAACGACACACATTGAATATGAAGTGAGTCGTCTGGTGTTTGATCAACAGATTTTGTCCACCGCCGAAGGCCTCAAAAAGACGAAATGACCCTATTGTCCTTACATTTTAATTAGGCGTAATAAAAGTACGGGGGATAATGGATCCGTGTGTTCCCAAGAACACTCGAGAGCGCCGTTATGGGTCTTACGCAATGACTCTCAGTCCATTCACGGCCCTTAACATGTGCATTAGCGAGCTGAGTGCCGTATCATCACTGACCCGCTGATCCCGCGGACGGTTAAGTGACTGCGGCCCGGCGATGTTTGAAAAGGCTTCTACTCCAGTCGTTCATAATGGTTGTGGATATTATGATCGCAGGAATTATGTCCGGTAAGGGTACGGCCGTTTCCCAGGGCAAGCAGATGAGGTTCACTTCTTGGCTGTGTAAATAAGGACAGGCTTTTATTGATGTCTCTGGGGATTGGAATGGGTTTTGCAGATGGAGTAGCTACTTGAGTGTCTTCTGCAATTCATAAAACTGTGCGTTCGAATGGATGATCGGTTTTGAGGTCTTTTTGGTGTGTGGTTGTGCATTTTGAGTCTGAGAGAGTCTGATAAAAATGCGGTGTGAAATGCTTTTGGGTGCTGGAAATGATTATCCAGAGAAAACAGGAAGATGTACTGTACTGAAAATCCTTTTTTTTTAAAGAAAATATTTGCATTTTTGCTAAATTATTGTTATTATTGTTATTAATGTTAATATTACTAAATATATTCTAAATTATTTTATTACATTATTTGAATAATAATTCTACAAAAATATTTTATTAATTATGTACAATATATGTATAGGCCTATAGAAACATGAAACTAAAAATGAAAGAAATATTAAAGTTTTAATAAAATTAATTAGCATTTTTGTTAAATATGAGAAATTATATGTGTATATATATAATATATACACACTAAAAATAGAATATACTACTACTACTACTACTACTATTAATTATTATTAATATTATTATTAGTAGTAGTAGTAGTGTCATTTTGCACATGTACCTTGGCATACCATGGTATTCTTTGACTATTTAATCTGCTAAAACATCTGATAAATGATGTGCTTTTTATGTATAAAACCATGAAAATAATAGTTGTCGTAGTAGTAGTAGTAATAATAATAGTATTATTATTATTATTATTATTATTAGTAGTAGTAGTAGTAGTATTATGTTATTATATTGTTAATGTCATTACTTATTATATTATAATTAGTTCATTAATAATTAATTAATAATTAGTAATAATTAGTGATAATAATAATAATAAAAACAATTATTATTATCACTACTACTACTATTGTTATTATTATAAAAATATATACCCTTCTCTTATTATTATTATTATTATTGTTATAAAATCTCTTCTTTT